GTTTAGTCCTGGTTTAGTCCTGGTTCAGTCCTGGTTCAGTCCTGGTTTAGAGGTTTACCTGGTTTAGTCCTGGTTTAGACCTGGTTTAGTCAGTCCTGGTTTAGTCCTGGTTAGACCTGGTTTAATCCTTGTGCCTGGTTACCTCTTTACAAATAATCACACCTGTGCTCCTTCGTGACAAAAATGGAAAAAGTACAGATTTGTGTTCAAATTTTTATATGATTGTTTTCATTTACTTCTGCTCGAATCACACAAAACAAACACGAACGTCTTTCTGTTGATTTAACTTTGCAGTGGAAGATACACAGTGAAAAGAAAAATATCAAAAAATTCCAAAAAGGACACTAAAACTAAACATTTTGAAGACCAAAGAATGAAAAATAAATCAAAAAGTAAAAGTACACTGGAAAAGTTATGCCTGTCAAAAAAGTAATTTTGAACGGAAGTCAACGGGACAAGTGTGAATATTTTGATTATAAACTGTTCAATTAATGTGATCTTGAAAGAAAACACAGAAATTAAAAATACACCACAAAACACACAATTTTGGTGTTATTTGGTGCAATAACGCCAGAGTTATACAAAAAAAGAAAAGTTGAGATGTACAAAAATGTATGAGGGTGAAGAGCTTTTCTATCAGAGGATTAACTGTAGTCCTCTTAAAGCCACAGTATGGAACTTTTTACACAAAAATTACACAAAAATAAAAGGATATTGATCACAGCCGTAGACTTAAAAGTAAGACTTGACTTGTTTATGTCCAAGAAATTCTTATTTAAAGCCAAAAATAAAATAAAATAAACATTGTAATGGCTCAATAAGTGGAAAACTACATTGTAAAGTACATTGCATTTTGGTATGAAAAAAAAGTGATTTTTAACCTCAAGTGTTTTCAAAATTTCTATATTTTTACATAAAAAAAAAAAAATATTATAACTGTATCTGACATCGCATCCATTGAACATGCAGCAAAACATCATTTATTTATTACCAAGTTGAAATGTAACTGTCAATTAAAGGTACACTGTGGAACTTTTCTGGTGCTTTTCTCCATGGAGATGTCATCGCTCGGCCTGGAATGTTCCACAGTGTGACTTTAAACAGCTCTAATTTACATTTATTCAATTACATGTGGTTTTATGGCTCAAAAAAACCCCCCCAAAAAAACGAAAGCATTCTGGCTGTGAGCGGGATCGCCTCTCCACAGATCTGACCCGTAACTTGATCAGGTCACAGTGTTAGTTTTTCTAGTTTTTTTTTGAGCTGTAAAACCTGCACCTGTAACTGAATACGTAAAGTTGAGTTGTTTAATGTCATGCAAAAAGTTCCACAGTGCACCTTTAATCAATATTTTATATATTTATATTTTTTTCATGACTTTACTTATAGCGGTTTATATTTTTTTTACAGTTTACATTTTGACTGACAGAGATAATAAATATCGACGTGTTTGCTGCATGTTTTTACTCCGGGCGTCTTCACTCTGAGCCGTGTCGCCGTAGTTTTGGTGTAGTTTTAATGTAGTTTGGGCGCAGTGGGCGTGTCCTGTTTTGTGATTGGTCGCTTGTCGGTGATTGACAGACGGAGCATGTCCCGCCCTACGACGTGGTGCCGTCCATGAGGCCCGTGGTTCTGGTCGGACCGTCCCTCAAAGGATACGAGGTGAGAATACAGATTTTAAAATGATTTAATATTTGCTTTTCCTTTCCGTTATTAAGTTACACAGTGCTGCTTTTTATTTTTTATATATATATATATATATATATATATATATATATATATATATATATATATATATATATGTATTATAAAGTATATATATATATATATATGTTTATAAAGAAATGTATTTAGTGATTTTCCGTTGTTTACAGGTGACAGACATGATGCAGAAGGCTTTGTTCGACTTCCTCAAACACAGATTTGACGGAAGGTAAAACATCAAAACTATCAATAAAAATGTTTACAAAAACAATGACATTTTGTTAAATGTTAAATTCCTCTTTGTTTTGTTTTTTTCTCAGGATATCCATCACTCGTGTCACGGCCGACATTTCTTTAGCCAAACGCTCGGTTCTGAACAACCCGAGTAAAAGAGCCATCATAGAACGCTCCAACACTCGCTCCAGCCTCGGTACGGATCACACACACACACGACCGTTTAACGCACAGGACCGGATTCTTATTTTATTTTTCTAAACCAGGTTTAGTCCTGGTTTAGACCTGGTTTAGTTCAGGTTTAGATTTTGCTTAGACATGGTTTAGTCCTGGTTCAGTCCTGGTTTATCCTGGTTTGAAATAACAGTAACAGTAATAAAGTCATAAATAACACATTACAGTTTTGAAGTAACTTACCCAACAGTTTTATACAATTTATCTGTACTCGAGTAAAACAAACTTTGCTCAGATACTTGGAAAAAATTTGGTGCAACAACTAAAATACAGAAAAAAAGTGACGATCTGGTTTTGTATGACGTAGGAAAGAGTGTGTGGCGCCCTCTGCCCTCCTCTCTCATTATGCTTCTCTATTTCTTTTTTCTACACATTCAATACTTTACACTGACCTTTACAGTATTTCATGTTTCTCGCTCTCTCTTGTTTCTCTCTCTTGTTTCTCTCTTGTTTCTCTCTCTTTTCGTTTTTTTTCTCGTTTGTTTTTCTCTCGTCCGTCAGCTGAGGTTCAGAGTGAGATCGAGCGTATCTTTGAGTTGGCTCGTTCTCTGCAGCTCGTGGTTTTAGACGCAGACACGATAAACCATCCGGCCCAGCTCCTCAAAACCTCTCTGGCCCCGATCATCGTCCACGTGAAGGTCTCGTCTCCAAAGGTACAACAACCGTGAGACGCTCAGTGTTTATGTCAGAGTTTACAGGACGAGTTTAACCCTGTGTGTGTTTAGGACACAGACAGTTAAAGGACGACAGGTAAAACAGGTTTACTCTGATGTTCCAAACACAAACACATGAAAACATGAAGACGCACATGTGCATGAACAACATGTGAACACAATGAACACAACAACATGTGAACACAACATGTGAACACAACATGTGAACACATGTGAACACAGTGAACAGTGAACACACAAGGGGAAAGAGCAGCTCCTGAGTTTAGAGCTGCTCTGTGTGGAGTTTGCATGTTCTCTCTGTGTCTGGTGGCTCCAGTGAAACATGCACAATCCTCCAGGTGCTGCAGAGACTCAGGCCTCGATTACACTGACACAAATGTTTTTAAAAACAGAGACATTTCCCTTCGTTTATTCACATCTTTTACACACAAATGGTGAATTCTGATGATGATGATGAAGCGTCAGAGCAGCAGTCGTGTTTCTTCTGCTGAAACACTTTTCATGTGTTTCATTTTCACACAGCTGATGTTTCATATCCATGACCTGAGACCAGTGAGTCTTTAACAGATCTGTGGAGAGGCGAGCTGCTCACTAATGCACAATTTTTAAACATATTTGTGAATAAAACTTACAACTGTAATGAAATAAATGCTACAGGTTTTAATCTAATCCAACTCCGCCCAGAGACTCGGTGTCATTATGGCGGCGCTCGATGGAGGATTTCTGTGGGTCAGTGAAATGATGAAAACGATGTTGTGTGCACGATGTTAGTTTAGAAAATGGAGGGAGGGAAATATTTGTTTGTTAACACGCCCGCTCTGTGTAAACGTGGCCTCAGACTCTGTAATCCAGACAAAAGGTTTAGGAAACGTTCCTTCACGTCTCCTTCACAGAGACAGAATCTTGGCTCAGATTTTAACACTTATAAAAATGTTATTACACAATTATGAAATCACAAATCTCTAAAAGTAATAAACTTTTAATACGAGTAAAAATGCAACTTCACAAATATAAAACTGAATATTTGAACTGAACGTTGAGCATGAACATGTGTAAATGATTCTACACACTCTGAATATGAATGTGTTAAAAACACCACAACATGTTGAATTTCAACACATCACTGAGTTTTATTTGGAACAACACAACGTGTGTTAACTGTCGGAGTGTGAACGATGGAGCAGGTTGTGTGTTCTGTTCTGATGTAGTTCAGCCAATAATGACCAAAATGACTCTCTGTTTCTGACATTTGTTAAAATACTAAATATAATAATAACATATATTTATAATATATATTTAACAAACTTGGCCTAACCAAAGAAAACAACAACTTGGCCTTCGGTGTTTTGTGATTCGCTAAAGATGTTAACACATTTTTGTGTTGTACAAGTTAAATCATGTAACACATTATTTACAGAAATTGACACAACACGGTGTTATTTGTTTTTTTACACATTAAATGTGTAAAAAAACAACACCTTCTTTGTTAGAGTTCACCTGAAGTCTGCACTGCCTGAAATATCAAAAACTCACTCTGTGTATTTATCTTTCTTTATGTTTGTTTCAGGTTTTGCAGCGACTCGTCAAATCCAGAGGAAAGAGTCAAAGTAAACACCTGAACGTCCAACTCGTCGCAGCGGATAAACTCGCCCAGTGTCCACCGGTAAAAATACTACTAATACTACAAATACTACTGTTAATATTACTACTTCTGCTTCTTTTCACAGTTGACTGTATTAGTAAAAGTATTATTTTGTGTTAGGAAATGTTCGACGTGATCTTAGACGAGAACCAGCTGGAGGACGCGTGTGAGCACCTGGCCGAGTACCTGGAGGCGTACTGGAAGGCCACGCACACCTCCATGGCCACGCCCCTCAACCCTCTGATTGGACGAAACATGGCGCCCACCAACAACACGCAGTACTCTGCCAACATGACGGGACTACAGGTGACGCCGGAAAAAACAACAACAACAACCGAGACGAGTTTAAATTAAAGTGTTTTGTTTGACTGGTGAATCTGACATTTTCATCCAGAACAAGGACGAGGTTTTTAACTTCACTGAATGAATGTCTGAAAAATGAAGATTGAGTTTTGATACTGGATTTTGTACCGGTTTGTCCTGGTTTAGTCCTAGTTTAGACCTGGGTTAGACCTGAGTTAGACCTGGTTTAGACCTGGTTTGGACCTGATTTAGACCTGGATTAGACCTGGTTCAATCCTGGGTCAGACCTGGTTTAGTTCTGGGTTAGACCTGGTGTAGACCTGGTTTAGACCTGGTTTAGTCCTGGTTTAGTCCTTGTTTAGTCCTTGATTAGTCCTGGTTTAGACCTGGTTTAGTCCTGGTTTAGTCTTAGTTTAGACATGGTTTAGTCCTAGTTTAGACCTGGTGTAGACCTGGTGTAGACCTGGTTTAGACCTGGTTTAGTCCTGGTTTAGTCCTTGTTTAGTCCTTGATTAGTCCTGGTTTAGTCCTGGTTTAGACCTGGTGTAGACCTGGTTTAGACCTGGGTTAGACCTGTTTAGTCCTGGGTTAGACCTCTTTCAATCCTGGGTAAAACCTGTTTTAGTTCTGGTTTTGTCCTGGTTTAGACCTGGTTTAGTCCTGGTTTAGTCGTGGTTCAGTCCTCAGTTCAGTCCTGCTTTAGTCCTAGGTTAGAAATGGTTTGGATCTGATTTAGACCTGATTTAGACCTAGTTTAGTCATGGGATAGATCTGGGTTAGACCTTGTTTAGTTTTGGGTTAGACATGATTTAGTCCTAGTTCAGACCGGTTTTAGTCCTGGTTTAGACTTGGTTTAGTTCTGATTACTGATTTTTGATACTTTTAAAACCTAATCTCTTCAGTTTTTATCCTGGATTATAAATCCTAGTCCAGATCTGGTTCAGTCCTGGTTTAGTCCTGGTTTAGTCCTGGTTTAGTCCTGAGTTAGACCTTGGTTAGACCTGGTTTAGTCCTGGATTAGATCTGGTTTCGTCCTGGTTCAGTTCTCAGTTCAGTCCTGGTTCAGTTCTGGTTTAGTCCTAGCTTAGTCCTAGTTTAGATCTGGTTTGGATCTGATTTAGACCTGGATAAGACCTGGTTCAATCCTGGAAAAGACCTGGTTTAGTTGTGGGGATAGATCTGGGTCAGACCTTGTTTAGTTCTGGATTAGACATGATTTAGTCCTAGTTTAGACCTGGTTTAGACCTGGTTTAGTTCAGATTACTGATTTTTGATGCTTTTTAAACCTAATCTCTTCTGTTTTTATCCTGGATTATCCTTAGTCCTACTTCAGACCTGGTTCAGTCCTGGTTTAGACCTGTTTTAGTCTTGATTTAGGCCTGGTTTAGTTCCGATTTCCGATTTTTGATACTTTAAAACCTAATCTCTTCCGTTTTTTTCCCTCTGTTTTCCTCCAAAAGCAGCAGAGCCAAAGAACGTCTCGCCCGCAGAGCAACCACACGGGCGACCACTCCACGCCCAACGAACGCCGCAACCTCATGACGGCCGACGAGAACTACCACAACGAGCGCGCCCACAAGGGTAACCGCGGCAACCGCATGTCCTCGGGGTCCCAGCACAGCCGAGACCAGACCGAGTCCTACCAAGACCCGTACCAAGAGCCGTACCAAGAACCGTACCAAGACCCGTACCAAGACCCGTACCAAGACTCTTACAAACCCCATAGGAACCGGAGTTCGCCCGGGAGCTACAGTCACGACTCTCGACATCGACTTTGAGTGAAAAAATAATAAATATAAGATTTTTTTTTTTTTTTTTTTTTTCAGATTCTAGGTGTAAAATTTGGGCAAATGTTTCAAGACAAGTATGAAAGGATTTTTGTGTTGGAGTGGAATGGGACGAGCTTAGTCCTGGTTTAGTCCTGGTTTAGACCGTTTTTAGATCTGGTTTGGATCTGATTTAGACCTGGTTTAGACATGATTTTACTCTTGGTTTAGTCCTGGTTTAGACCTGGTTTAGATCTAAATTAGACCTGGATTAGTCCTGGATTTAAACCTGGGTTAGACCTGGTTTAGTGTTGGATTTAAACCTGGGTTAGACCTTTTCTAGTCCTGGTTTAGACCTGATTTAGACCTGGCTCAGTCATGGTTTAGACCTGGTTTAGTCCTGGTTTAATCCTGGAATAGTCCTGGTTTAGACCTTTTAGTCCTGGTTTAGACCTGATTTAGACCTGGTTTAGATAGACCTGGTTTGGTCCTTGTTTAGTCCTGGGTTAGTCCTGGGTTAGACCTGGTTTAGACCTAATGTAGACCTGGTTTAGTTCTGGTTTAAAGCAGGTTTAGACCTAATTTAGACCTATCTTAGACCTGGTTTAGTCCAGGTTTAGATCTGGTTTAGACCTAGTGTATACCTGGTTTAGTTCTGGTCTGGATCTGGTTTAGACCTGGTTTAGGCCTATCTTAGTCCAGGTTTATTCCTGGTTTAGACCAGGTTTAGATCTAATTTAGACCTATCTTAGATCTGGTTTAGTCCAGGTTTAGTTCTGGTTTAGTTCTGGGTTATACTTGCTTTAGACCTGGTTTAGACCCAATTTAGACCTAAGTGAGACCTGGATTAGACCTGGATTAGACCTGGTTCTTATGTATTTCAGAAATTATGAAAAATGAACCCTGCTGTCAAAACATTTGCCAACTTAAAACAAATTATTATGCTTTTTAAACATTCAAAAGTCCTCAAAATGGCGCCTGTGGCCTGAATCAGAACCGGGCTCGTCCCGTCCCGCTCCAAACACACAAACCTGAAGAATTTCCAGTCATAATTTTTACTTCACGCTCTCTTTTTTTTGGGGGATGAACGGCGGGAGTTTGCCACGCACAGACTCAAACAAACGAACAAACGAACAAAGGAAAACGTGCGTGGCGTCGCTTCCTTCTCGTCCCAGACCTGTACAAACTAAACCTAACTTACTGCATGCCGATAGATCACTGCATTCACCTGTTTTCTACCTGAATATCCGGGTGGAAGTGTAAATATATTTTCTAAAACCTGATCAACAGAACGTACGCGAAGTCTGGCTGCTAAAATACGAACAACGAAACTAACTGGTGCTTTACAAACTATTTTGCTATTTTGAGAGAAAGTCATTTAAAAAAAAAAAAATCAGCTTTTCTGTAGCGTTCACTGTGGACAAAAGAGAAAGAGGAAGAAGAAGAGGAGGAAAAGGAGGAAGGAGACGGACAAATGCAAGATTTAACTGTAGCTAAATAATAATTAAAAAAGCAAAGATGGTGCTGGAACAGTGGACCGGGGATTTCAGATATTTTAAAACAACAAAAACAACAAAATTACGACGTTTTCTGATCATTTCCTCGTCACAGAGTCAAACTATCAGTATTATAAATGAGACACACTTAATGCCACAGTGTGTAACTTTTTAGTCAAAACACAGACTCCGAAAAGGGGGAGGAGCCGTCTTTATCTTGTTGCCGTGGTAATAATAATGGTAAACTGTTCCTTTCTTACACTTTGGACTAAAAGATCAGACATAGACCTGGTTCAGATCTGGGTTAGACCAGTTTTTTTCCACAAACATCACAAATATTTAAATTTTTAGTTTAATTTTAGACATGTTTAGTCCTGAGTTAGACTTGGTTTAGACTAAAGTTAGACCTGGTTTAGACCAAAGTTAGACCTGGTTTAGACCAAGGTTAGACCTGGTTTAGACCAAAGTTAGACCTGGTTTAGACCAGACAAAGTTAGACCTGGTTTAGACCAAGTTAGACCTGGTTTAGACCAAGTTAGACCTGGTTTAGACCAAAGTTAGACCTGGTTTTTCCACAAATTTCACAAATATTTCAGTGTTGTTGTTTTTTTTTTGGACATGTTTAGTCTAAGGTTAGATTTGGTTTAGACCTTGTTTAGACCTGGTCTATTCCTGGTTTAGTTAGGCTTGGGTTAGACCTAGTTTAGTCCAAGGTTAGACCTGGTTTAGTCCTGGTTTAGTCCAAAGTTAGACCTGGTTTAGTCCTGGTTTAGACCTTGGTTAGACCTGGTTTAGATCTGGTTTAGTCCTGGTTTAGATAGACTTGGTTTAGACTTAGGTTAGACTTGGTCTAGTCCTGAGTTAGACCTGGTTTAGTCCTGGTCTGTTCCTGGTTTAATTAGACTTGGTTTAGGTCTGGTTTAGACCTGTTTTAGTCCTGGTTAAGACCTGGGTTAGACCTGGTTTAGACCTGGTTAAGTCCTGGTTTAGTCCAGTTCCAGTTGGAGACTGTGTGAATTTTCTCTCACATCTCACATCTTTAAACACTTAAAGCTGCACTGCGTAACTTTTTGTTGAAGGTTCTCCTGCTCGTCTCCGTGGAGATAGAACTGCTTTTTCCCGGAATGTTCCACAGCGCAGCATTAATCACATCACACCTTCGTAAAGTGACACACTGCGGCTTTAAACTGGTCCACTATTACGGCGCCGTCTGAGCTCGAGGAAATATTTAGAAAAAAAAACAAAAAAAACATCTTCTCGAAAATAAAAATAAAAATTTGGATTTGGTGAATTTAGATTTTTCAGAGAAGTTGTAGCGGGTTCCTGACGCAGAGCATGCTTCCCTTCAAACGTTTGTAGAAATGTAGAGGAAAAAAAAAGAGCAAAAAAAATCCAAAAAACAAACAGAAACGCCCAAATTTTTATTCAGAAACCCGGATGAATTTCAGAGGAGGCTGCATGAAGCGAAGACGAGACGTTTTAAAGTTTCGAGTTTTATTTTTGAAAATCGTCAGACGGAGATGTAGCTGAAAACACAAAACAAAACGAGACAAAACAAAACGAGACGAAACAAACTCACACCAGGTCAGAATCTTTATCAAAACTTACCACGGTTACACAGATTTCAACAATATTACTGTGTCTTCTTTAGTCCTGGTTTAGACCTGGTTTAGACCTGGTTTAGTCCGGGGTTAGACCTGGTTTAGACTTGGTTTAGACCTGGTTTTTAGTTCTGAGTTATTCATGGGTTAGACCTGTTTTTCTCCCTGGTTTAGACCTGGATTAGTCCTGGGTTAGTCCGGGGTTAGACCTGGTTTAGACTTGGTTTAGACCTGGTTTAGACCTGGATTAGTCCTGGGTTAGTCTGGGGTTAGACCTGGTTTAGACTTGGTTTAGACCTGGTTTAGACCTGGATTAGTCCTGGGTTAGTTCGGGGTTAGACCTGGTTTAGACTTGGTTTAGTCCTGGTTTAGGCCAAATTTAGACCTGGTTTAGACCTGTTTTTTTCCCTGAGTTAGTCCTGGTTTAGACCTGATTTCAGACCTGGTTTAGACCTGGTTTAGACCTGGTTTAGTCTTGGGTTAGTCCTGGGTTAGACCAGCTTTAGACCTGTTTTATCCCTGGGTTAGACCTAGTTTAGTCCTGGTTTAGACCTGATTTCAACCTGATTTAGACCTGGTTTAGACCTAGGTTAGTCCTGGCTCAGTCCTGGGTTAGACCTGGGTCAGACTTGTTTTAGACCTGGGCTAGATCTAGATTAGACCTGGTTTAGTCATAGGTTAGACCTGGTTAAGACCTGGTTTAGACCTAGTTTAGTCCTGGGTTAGTCCTGGGTTAGTCCTGATTTAGACCTGGTTTAGACCTGGTTTAGACTGAGTTTAGACCTGGTTTTTAGTTCTGAGTTATTCATGGGTTAGACCTGTTTTTCTCCCTGGTTTAGTCCTGTTTTTTCCCTGGGTTAGTCCTGGGTTAGACCTGGGTTAGACCTGGTTTAGATCTGGTTTAGACCTGGGTTAGACCTGGTTTAGATCTGGTTTAGACCTGGTTTAGTCCTGGTTTAGTCCAGTTCATTGGAGACTACAGAAAAAAATCACCGTTGTAAAACTTTATAGGAGACTCCGTGACGTCTTTAAACAATTAAAGCTGCACTGCGTAACTTTTCGTTGCGCGTACTCCTGCTCGTCTCCATGGAGATCGCGCCGCTTTCCCCGGAATGTTCCACAGCGCGGCATTAATCGCATCTTCGTCTTCAGCGACGGACGCGAGACCGACTGAATTACGTGTTTTTTCCCCCCAGATCTGACCTCGTGCTGTCACCCTCTCGTTTCCAGGGAGACAGACGAGCTTAAAGCCGTACTGCGGAACATTCCAGATGAGGCGAGGAAAAGTTACACCGTGCAGCGTTAAAATAAAACCACCAGTCGTGCAGTTTTTCGGGTAAAAGTTGTCTGGATTCGTACTGTGCATATCTTCATTTCTTCACATATCTCAGCTCAGCGTTCGCTTTGATCACGGACCAAAACATATTTTTATTTTTCTTATTCAGTTATTATTTGCACTTTTTTTTTCCATGGTAGCACTTGAGGAAAAGCCTGTGACACAAATGTATTTATTTTCTATATTTTCTGTAAAGTTTGTAAATGTTTAATGAACACTGGATGCAAAATGACGACGTTTCTGTACAGAGCAATAACAAGACGACGGCAGTTCCAACAACGACCAGAAGGAGGCAGCGTTTAATGAAAAATTACACCTCATTTAGTCATGTTAAATCGTCCCGGATTAATCCTGGTTTAGTCCTGGTTTAGTCCCGGTTTAGTCCCGGTTTAGTCCTGGGTTAGACCTGGAATAGACCTGGATTAGATCTGGTTTAGACCTGGTTTAGATCTGGATTAGATCTGGTTTAACCCTAATTTAGATCTGGTTTAGTCCCGGGTTAGAGCTTTCTTAGTCCTAATTTAGACCTGGTTTAGACCTGGGTTAGTCCTTGTTTAGACCTAGGTTAGATCTGGTTTAGCCCAAGTTCAAACCTGGTGTAGTTTAGTCTTTGTTTAGACCTGGTTTAGACCCGGTTTAGACCTGGTTTAGTCCTAGTTTAGACCTGGATTAGACCCGGTTTAGACCTGGTTTAGTCCTAGTTTAGACCTGGATTAGACCCGGTTTAGACCTGGTTTAGTCCTAGTTTAGACCTGGTTTAAACCCGGTTTAGACCTGGTTTAGTCCTGGTTTAGACCTGGTTTAGACTCGGTTTAGACCTGGTTTAGTCCTAGTTTAGACCTGGTTTAGTCCTGGTTTAGACCTGGGTTAGACCTGATTTAGTCCTAATTTAGTCCAAATGTAGTCCTGGTTTAAATCCTAGTTTAGACCTGGTTTAGTCCTTCTTTAGATCCAAACTCTGTATCATTAAATTTCCATGACACTAAACCTCTATATTTCAAAACTCGACTGAACCAAACTAAAATAAAAGTTTAAAGTTTAAATTTGCTCTTTACAGAAAAAAAACTGAGACTCGAGACACAAAAGCAAAAATCAAACTCTGACTCCCACAATGTGAAAAGGTCAAAGGTTTTTCTGTGACTCGTCTCTTGGGCTGAATATAATTGTAATGAACTCTGAACTATGAACTGCTTTAGTCCTGGTTTAATCCTGGTTTAGACCTGGTTCAGTTCTGGTTTAGACCTGGTGTAGACCTGGTTTAAACCTGGGTAAGACTTGAGTAGATCTGGTTTAGACTTGGATTAGTCCTGGTATAGACCCAGTTTTAACCTGGTCTAGTCCTGGCTTGGTTTAGTAATTTTTTGTCCTAGTTTAGTTCAGGTTTAGTCCTGGTTTAAACAAAGTTTAGATCCAGTTTAGATCCGGTTTAGATCTTAGAAATGCAAATAATCTGAACTGGAGTTGGTTTAGACCTGATATAGACTTGTCTAAACCAGGTCTAAATCAGGACTAAACCAGATTTAAACCGGAACTAATCCAGAAATAATCTGAACTGGTTTAGACCTGGTTTAGACCTGGTTTAGACCTGGTTTAGACCTGGTTGAGCTCTGGTTTATTCCGTGATTTAGTCCTGGTTTAGGCCTGGTTTAGACCTGGTTTAGACCCGTTTTAGACCTGGTTGAGCTCTGGTTTATTCCGTGGTTTAGTCCTGGTTTAGATCTTAGTTTTGCAAATAATCTGAACTGGTTTAGACTTGGTTTAGTCCTGGTTTAAACCTGGTTTACTCCTGGTTTAGTTCTGGTTTTGATCTATAATATTCAGTTTTTTTCACAAAAATTTAGATTTTCTCTTTAATCGTAACGACAAAAAGAACAAAAGTGAAATGCAAGTTGAACGTGATAAATCCTTCATCTTATTTTTCTATAAACGTGTAAATAAATCTTGTGTTTTCGGAGGATTTGGCTGAGTCCAAACTGAACGACACGCTGAACTTTTCCATCGACTGTCTATGCAAAGTGTGGACAAAACTCCTGCTCCAAACCGACCATTTCAACCAGCTCCAAAAAGGGACAAACCTCTTCTTTTCATTTCATTCTTTTGTCAAAATGAAACGACGCGGCTTCTGGCTCCTGCATGCACCACGTACCGATCGGATTTGTACAAAAAAAAAAAAAAAAAAGAGAAAGAGAAAAAAAAAAAAAGTCTATATTTAAAAAGAAAAAGGAAGTGGCTGTGTTTGAAAAGCAAAGAGACTGGGACCTTTTCAAAATAAAAGTCGTTCTAAAGTCACGGTGTGTTTTTATAACACGAGGACGACGGGAGGGCATCTGACGCAACAGGAGGTCATGCTCAAATGTCACTGAACACGGGATGGTTTAGTCCTGGTTTAGTCCTGGTTTAGACCTGGTTTAGTCCTAGTTTAGTCCTGGTTTAGAGCTGGTTTAGTCCTGGTTTAGAGGTTTACCTGGTTTAGACCTGGTTTAGAGAGTCCTGGTTTAGTCCTGGTTTAGACCTGGTTTTAGACCTGGTTTAGTCCTGGTTTAGACCTGGTTTAGACCTGGTTTAGACCTGGTTTAGACCTGGTTTAGTTTTTAGACCTCCTGGTTTAGTCCTGGTTTAGACCTGGTTTAGTCCTGGTTTAGACCTGGTTTAGACCTGGTTTAGTTTGGTTTAGTTTTTTTTAGTTTTTTTGGTTTAGTTTTTACCTGGTTTAGTTTTAGACCTTTTAGTTTAGTCCTGGTTTATTTTTGGTTTATTTATTTTCCTGGTTTAGACCTTTTATTTTTATTTACTTTTTGTTTTTCTTTTTTTCAGTTTTAGAATTTTAATTAATTAATTTATTTAATTTAGTTTAGTTTTAGTTTAGTTAGTTATTTTTAGTTAGTTTTTTTTCCAATTTATTTTTTATTTTGTTTTTAATTAGTTATTTATTTATTTATTTATTTATTTTTATTTTGTTAGTTAGTTACCTATTTTTTCCAATGTATTTATTTATTTAGTTTGTTATTTAGTTACTTATTATTATTATTATTTTTTTTTTCCCAATTTATTTATTTATTCATTTATTTATTTATTTCGTTAGTTACTTGGGGACATTTGATTGGCTCATCACGGACACGTTCGCGCTTTTCTGAAACGGCGTTAGCTCCGATGCTAACACGGTTTAAACTCTGTCAAACACAAAATATTATAAGTTTTAAAAAAGAAATGAAAACAAATTTGACATATTTTTACGAATTTTCCCGGAGCCAAACGTGAGGAGGAAGTGACGTAACCACGTGAGTCCCCGTGTTTGTTTGTTTTGTTTTATTCTCTACTGTTTTTATGGAGCTACGTGTTTTTAATTTTAATATTTAGCCACAATGTGAAAAGAATGAGGCTTTTTTTAATTGGTACCTTTACACCCTTTGAAAAATTGTAAACAAAAATATTCTAAATTTCGTCATGGAAGCGGCTGGAGGCAAAAGTGAAGTGGAACATAACGCGAGTTTTATGGGAAAACTCGGATTAATTTCAGAATATCACAAATTATGAAAAATCAAGAACAATTTGGAAAATAAAAACCACTCAGACACATGTGAATGAAATCAGAGCCTGGTTTAAAAACATTTACAGTTGTGTTTTACATTATTTGTTTATTTAACAAGAGATTAAGAGAGACACTGAGCATTTTTACTAAAGCAAAATCCAGTTTTTCACTTCATCTACAGATATATTACACATTTCATCATAAATTATGCCTTTTGTGAAGCCCAAATACTATTTTAGGGTTAGAAAACTGTATTTTTTTTTCATCCTTCTTAACAGAGAAGCAAAGTAAATAAGATTTGTAGCTTGAAAATTCATAATCGTTGCTTATTTTTTGTTATAATGTCATAAAAACAAAGCATTCAAGTCTGCTCATCAGTGAATCATTATTATTATTATTATTATTATTATTATTATTATTATGTTTGCTTCAATTTTTTCTCCATTCCAGAATTTTGAACATCCTGATGACAGAAGATTTGAAAGGATCGACGTGTTTAACCACAAGATGGCGCTGTTGGGTAACTCTTGAACAGGTTTATTTAGAGCTTCTTCTGTCTTCTCTCTGTCGGTGGGTCAGTTGGTTAATCAGTCGGTGGGTTGGTTGCTGTTTCATGTTCTGACGGTGGCGTAGAACTGAGCAGGGTCCTCCACCGCTGTCTTCCTCACTGAGCTGTAGGTCACCTCCTCCTCCTCACTGAGTCCGACCTGAGCAGAGCAGATCTTACTTTACTAAAGAATGCATTTTTATGGATGAGATTTGTAGAAGGACAAAATCCAAACATCCACAAGAAGAAAATCTACAAATGTTGAACCCGATCAAATACAACTGAACCTGTGTTTACGTATTCACATTTGCACTGATGTGACTCACTGTGTTAAAGAAGACACTGAGTCACATTAGTGATGCTCATTTGTAAACCATAAATCAAACATCCTCCACCACTTCCTCTTTACACTGTGAGAAACATGTCCTGTTTTAAACTCACTTTGTCCTGGACTGGCCTGGTTTTAGTCCTGGTATCACTAGTATCGTCCTGGTTTAGTCTCGGTCCTGCCGTCCAGTCAGATTTGTTTTTTTTCCAGTGACACACGTGAAATGAAGAAGCATCACATCATTTCAGAGTTTAGTGCTTCACTCATTGATTTTGCTGAAATCTGCTGAAACCTGTGACATTTCTAGACCTCGGTCTAGTCCTGGTTTAGTCCTGGTCTAGTCCTGGTCTAGTCCTGGTCTAGTCCTGGTCTGGTTCTTACCTCATTTCTCCGGTTGTTCCTTTTGTAGGTGATGGTGGCGTAGGACACTTCCTCCTCAGGTTCAGCCTTTGAAACAAACATTCAGATGAATCAAACTTGTTGATTCAAGCCGTTGTCTTGGTCCTTTTCCACTATAATGTGCACAACAACACAAACTGACCCTCAGGTTGGAATTACTGTACTGCTTTAGATCTTCTTCCTCTGATCTTTATATTGAGCCGTACAAAAATGACAGATTTGCTGCACATTTATAATAAAAAAATCGTAAACTCACACAGCAGTTGCTTCTGGTGACGGCAGGCTTCGCTGTAAACAAATATATATTAGTGATGAGATAAGAAAGTTTTTTTGGTTACTCCGCTCTAGACTCTGGTGACAGCTCTTTCAGTAAAAGTTACACAGCGCTTCTTTAACAAACAGGACCCTCCTGTGACTTCCGTTTCATTTTACTCCTACACGAGATTCAAAGTGCTCTCCAAATCTTCTTTAGCAGCGAGAGGTCGGGGTGAGGAGAACGAAATGAAGCCAATCTGAGGAGTTTTTGCACTGGCAAAATAAACTCTCAAACGTCATCAATAATGAATTACATTCATAAAGTATTTTTAGTGTTTTTGTTCACTTTGCACCACTGTTATCAGCTTAAACACACGTCCCGGCACACACGCCCGGCACACATACCC